AGTGGCATAAGCACCTGCCTTGCAAGCAAGTGGTCATGAGTTCAATCCCTGGTACCGATTAAAAAAAAAAAAAAAATTCCAGAAATCAGTGTTCCTAGAAGCAAATCTTTTTTATAGAATTTTTGCCAGGCACAGTGGCAAATGCTTTTCATTCCAGCATCCAAGAGGCTGAGGCAGGAGGATAAACCAAGTTTGAGGCCAGCCTGATCTACATAAGGAGTTCAAGGCCAGCCTGAACTACACAGCAAGACCCTGTGTCAATATATATATACACAAACATGGACATGTGAGTGGTAGCATTGTAAGTGCTTATTTTTATCATGGTTAAAAAAAAAAAAAAGGGTAACATAACCATAGTATTAAGTATACAAACACTATGACAGAATAGATTTTGATAACTTAATCTTACAAAACTGAACCTTTTTCCTCCTCAGCTCCTGCCAACAACCACCCGTTTTCTAAGCATCTACTTCAGATGGCACATCAGAAGTGGAATCATACAGCATCTGTACGTTTTGTGACTGGCTGCCTTTATTCCGCATGTCCTCAATGCTCAGCCATCTTCTAGACACCCTTCTTTATAAAGGCTGAGCACCAGCCCGCTGGGGACCTTCACATTTCTCCTCCAGGCATCTTTGGGCTGCTTCCTTTTCACACTGTGAGTAGTGCTGCAGAGCACATGGGTCTGAAAATCATCCGTCCAACCCCCTGATGTTGCTCTTCTGGTCTAACTCAGAGGTGGGGTGCCGAGGCACAGGGTAAATGTATTTTTCATGTTCTGAAGAATCTCCATATTGTCTTCTGTAGTCGTAGTAGCATTTCACATTCCCACCGACAATGTTCAAGGGCTCCACCAGTTCTCCACATTTTTGACATTTTGGGGAAAGAGATAGCAGCCATTCTTAAAGAGTCAGGTGATAATATCATGTGGCTCTTACCGGCATTCCCTAATAATAGGTGATGCACATCCTCTACACTGCTTGCTGGTCAATGGTTTACCTTTTTGGAGAAATGTCTATTCAAGCCCCATGCCCATTTTTTAAATGGATCATTATTTTGTGGCTGTTTAGTTGTATTAGTCATTTATGCAATACATGGTTTCCAAGTACTTCCTCCATTCTGTAGGCTATCTTTCAGTCTGCCATTTCTTTTGCTTTGCAGAAAGATTTAAGTTTGAAGTCTCACTTACCAATTTTTATTGATAGTCTCTGCTTTTGTTATAACCCCACTGCCAAATCTAATCTCATGAAGTGCTTTCTCTGTTTTTTTTTTTTTTTCTAAGCATTTTATGTTTTAGGTTTGCCATTTAGGTCTTCAAACCATTCTGAGTTAATGCTGTACATACTTTTTAGGTTAAGGGTCCTAACTGCATTCTTTTGCATACAGATACCCAGTTTTGTTAGTTTTCCTTCCTTCCTTGTGTATTTCTGGCACCTTTGTCAAAGATCAGTTAACCACGCCTGAGTGATCTATATATGGGCTATTTTGTCCTTCAGGTTTGCATGTCTTTAAAGCAAGTACCACACTGCTTTAATTACTGTAGCACTATAATATATTTTGAAATCAGGAAGTATGATGCCTCTGGCTGTATTAAAGTTTCTTTATCTCTTTAAAGTTTTTTTGGTCCATATAAATTTCAGGATGCTATTTTTGTTTCAGCAAAAAAAATTGCTTTGAATTATTTTTTTTTGGGGGGGGGTCTGAGGATGAACTCAGGACCTTCACACCGAGCTACATCCTAGCCCTTTTATTACTCTGAGGCAGTCTCTCTAAACTACCCAGAAGGATCTCCAACTTGTAATCCTCCTGTTTCAGTCTCCCAGAGTGATGGAATTACAGGCATGCATGCACCACCATGCCCAGCTCACCCCTGGGAATCTGATGGAACACTACAACATATCAGACTGCTCTACAGAGTATGGATACTTTAGCACTGATCAGGCTTCCAGTGATGCTGCACATCTGTAATCCCAGCACTTGGGAGGCTGAGGCAGGAGGATTGCTATGAGTTAGTTCAAGGACAGCCTGGGCTACAAAGTGAGTTCAAGGTCAGCCCAAACTGCATAGTGAAACTGTCTCAAAAAGACAAAACAAAACAGCGACAAAAAAGGCTTCCACAGAGTACCTTTTCATTTATTTGTGTCTTCCTTAAATTTTTCTCAACAATGTTTTCTACTTTTCAGTATATAAGTCTTTCACCTCTGATGTTTTTATAAACAGGACTAGTTTCCTTCATTTATTTCTAGTGATTATTCACTGTGAGTATATAGGAAAATGCACCTGACATTTGAGTGTCAATTTTGTGTCTTGAAATCTCCCTAAACACGTTTATTAGCTTTCACAGGTCGCTGTGTATAAATTCACAGAATGTGTAATGTCATGCTACGTGGGAGAAGACATAATCTTACTGCTTCCTTTTGTTTTTTTTTTGTCTTTTTCCTTTTTATCGGTACCAGGGATCGAACTCACGACTGCCTGCTTGCAAGGCAGGCACTTATGCCGCTGAGCTAAATCCCCAGCCCCACTGCTTCCTTTTCAATTGGGATGCTTTTTATTTCATTTTCCTGACTAATTACTCCGGCTAGAATTTTGAATTTTACAATGAATGAGGTTGTACGAGTAGACATCCTTGTCTTACTCTAATCTTAAAGGAAAAACTTTCAATTTTTCACCAGTGAACATGATAGGATGCTTGCTGCGAGCTTTTTCATATAGCATTTATTATGTTAAGATAATTTTCTTCTATATTTTTGTTGAAAAAAATTTTTCTATCACGAAAGGGTTTTGAATTTTGTCCATTTTTTTCTGTATCCAGTGGGACAAAAATCATGTGTTTTTTGTGCTTTATGTAGGTTAAAACCCTTTAAAGTAACATTGATGCTTTTTCTCTAGAAAGAACTATGAGCTATCTAGTCAACACCAGCTTATTCTGAGACTGGAAAGTATAAACTTTGAATTGATAGGGACCTAAGAAGCAAACTAATCCATATTAGGCAGAGATTAAATAACAAAATGGAATGTTATCAGACAGATGGGTACTTGATCCTAGCGAGAAATGAGTAATTTCTGTAGAGTTATCTTTCTGAGAACTTGACCATAATTTATCCTAGAGAAATACTCTTAAAAAATTCAAAACTACATGAGGTATAAATCCGAACTGTTGAATGTATCTGTAATATATATACACATACACACACACACAACACACGGACACACACACACACACACACACACACACACACTATACAGCACCTCTAAAGGATGATATAAAAGTGAATTTTCCTTGACATGGTCTCAATTTTTAAGTAAAAAAAGTTACAAAACTATATAAAGTTTGATGTCATCATATATGTGTACATAGATATGCACTTATAAAACCTAGGTTATATAAAAACATCAAGAATGCTTTTATAATGATTCATACTAAAGACTATACATTCTTCATGTAGTTTAACAGAACATCTAGTATCAACCAATTTATTTAAATACTAATAGAACATCTAGTATCACCCTTCAAACAAATAGCTCAGCTTAACAGAGAATTCTCAATTACTTGTATGATACTTGTGCAACCATCTAAGCATCAGTCCATAGAACGGACAGATTACCTTGCAGGTGGACCTGTGAGTCAGCAACGTCTCTAAGTTATGTTCCTCTTAGCTGCACTTAGTCTTTGACTCCGTCTTCTTTAACCACATCTTAAGCACTGTGTACATTTACAAGATGGATCTGTCAGCCTCCACGCTTCTGATCCAACTTATCAGAGGTATCCACATTATCTGCACCACTGGCAGGAAACCAACAAGTAATCTGTTCTGATTTACCTATATCCATTACCAAAAACACCCCCTTTCTTAATAAATATATCTTTGTCCAAAACAAAAACAGAATCACTTAAAAGTCCTAACTCTTGGAGCCTCTGAATTTGTGAAGCACTTCCCACGATGTCATTACATGGAGGAATTCAGTGTCCTATGGGATTCTACTGGCTCCGTAACTCTGAGCCTGCCTGGCTTCGCCCTTTGCTAAGTGTGCTCTGTACCATTTCCCTGTAATAAACTTAGCTTTAAGCAAGACTTGTAAGCTCAGTACTGACGCCCCAGGAAATCATCAAACACGGGTTCATTCCACACGAAACAGCTAACTTGTGAGGTCCTTAGCACGATACAAGGGGAAGAGTGCAGCACCATTTTTGTAGAATGAAGGACATTCTATAAAAAGATTAACCTGTGATTCTCGTAAGAGTTATGGTCATAAAGGCAAGAAAAGATTATAAGGTACAATGTACAATTCTGGACCGCATCCTGCTTTTATGAAAGAACTAATGTCGTGATGCCAGAGTCGCACCTAAAAGTCGCCTGCCTTTACTTCCTAATTTGGATGGGTACAAGCATGTAGGAAAGCTTCTTTCTTGCTAGGAAACATCTACTGAAGTGTCCAGGGGTCATGGGCCAGCCTAACACTGATGTCCTTTCAAAGCACATTAAAAAGGGGGAGGGGCCACAGAATTTTTTTTTAAAAAGCATTCTTGGTATTATTTGCACAAATTTTCTGAGTCTGAGATTGTTTCAAAATAAAAAGTAAAGTAAGAACAATGATGATTTCATTCTTTGACAATGAAACTATGTTTATAACATACCATGAGATGAGAACATACACTATCCAAGGTAAGTATAGCAGAAACTAGAATGGGGTGAGGGATACAACCTTCTCCCTCTCGTTCCTCATCAAGAAAAAGTCTATTACTAATTAGGGAAAGCTTCAAAACCAAACTTTTTTATCCCTACTGGTTTGACTATCACATAATTGCTCAATGTAGAAAATGACTTGAGGGGCAGAGTTTGGCACCTAAAGCACAGCAGTGCACTTGAAATTATCTATCTAGTAATACTCGATGAGCTACCCATGTAACCAAATGAAACGTCTCACAGAACACTTTCAGCTGGAAAAGCCCAACTCCGACATGCAAACCAGTGCTGAGACTGTAGGCCCCGCCTCACCGTTTGTGTGCTTCCTGTTTGCTGCGACACTCCTCACAGTAATACTTGTATTCACTGCACAGCGTTTCTGTGTTGCTAAAACCCCTGTGTGAAGTTAAAAATATGTTTATTTCTATACACCAGAAAATCATGAATTCACTAAAAAAATTCTTTAAATTTCAAAACAGTAAGTAATTCTAAACATACCTTAAACAGTGAGTGATTGATGTGTTCTGTTCCACGTCAACAGAAAGGTCTAAAAAATCTTCATCTTTGCTGCTTATCTGTCAAAATAGGGAAACATTTTTGATTTCTTCAAGTATTAGGAAACCTGGCTCCTCATTAACAGAACTCAATGTATTCTAAATAATACTCCCCTTCAAGTTCAAAACAAGACTACTTGGGCTGCAATACCCAAAAGGATACTGAATAAGTAACAGTGAGCACAAGATAGGTAAAACACCAAAGCAAGTATTGGACTGATTCCTACTGGCAAGCACAGTGTGATGCAAAATTTCACTATTTTCTGTCATGGTTTGTATCACTGGCCCCCAGGCCTCATGGGTTTACGTTATGCATCTGTGATTGGTTCACTGTCTAGTGCTTGGATTGGGGTGTGAGTGCTACAAACACCCAGGGGTGGAGCCAGCATACAATAAAATGGCAGGAAGAAGGTGTGTCTCGCTCTCTTGCCAGTTTCCGCCTTGCTGTTTGCAGCCACCATAAACTGTGACTCCGCCATGCCACCGTGCCTTGGAGCCAACTGACTATGGACTGAAACCTCCAAAAAACTATAAGAAATAAACCTTTGCTTTCCCAACTTTGGACATCAGGTATTTTGTCTCAGCAACAAAAAATAACTCTAAGACATTTTTCAAAATCTGAATGTTACTTCAAAGTGTAAACAGATTATACACATATTCTGATTCTTAAGAAACAGACCAAGACTGAATGAGGGTATCTGCACTGTTTTATCATGTAAGAAAATAATTTAGCACAAAATTCCAAGTCACAATATTCATTTATGACTTATCTTTATTTTTCCCAAAATTCTTTTTTTTTTTTTCCGTTTTTTTTTTTTTTTTTTTAAATCGGTACCAGGGGTTGAACTCACGACTGTCTGCTTGCAAGGCAGGCACTTATGCCGCTGAGCTAAATCCCCAGCCCCCTATTTTTCCCAAAATTCTAACACAAGATTTTGATTTATAAATAAATCACCTTACAGAAATTATCTAATTATGTGAATCGCAACAGAACAGAACCTCGCACATACATTTCCCTAGCCATTTCCTGCAGCGACTACAATTTGGTTTATTAAATGTTTTCCTGAGTGATCAACGTTGCAGACTCAGTTCCATGAAGCTGTGATTCAGCCCTGGTGCTCATATCTTCTATTTAGACAAATATGACTCACTACACAGGAGCACCATGCATCCTGCATTTCACAAATATAACTCAAGCATTTTCAAGAATGATTTGACTGTTTAATCACTACATGAAGCTAAACTTACATCTAAACCTTCATTTAGATGCCATTTTACCATACAACACAGGTAGAATAATACTCTAAAAATAAATGATCTGGGTCCTGAGGATCACAAGTTCAAGACCGGCCTGGCCAACTTTGTGAAACTTGTCTAGCCTTAGCAAAACCCTGGGCTCAATTTCCAATACAACGAAGATGGGATGCGGAGGGTGGGGTGGTAATTCAGAGTCATGAAAGACAAGATGGTGGGTGTAGGGAAAAATACTCAGCTTGAGTCAGTAGGAAAGCTGAGAGTGACAAGCGAAAGAACATCAGCGGCAGGGCAGAGCAGATCTGGCAGGGTTTATGTGCAGGCTAAAAGACTTTAGATGGACCAACCTGACAGGTCTCAAAATGAGGTTCTCAGATACTGCCTTTGAGGTCTTTCTTCTAAATGTTTGCTTTTAGAATACTTTTTAAAAGAATTCTTGATATAATGCTACTCTGGATCAAGTGGGTATATCTCACCTACATTTGTACTGCAGGTGTGTTGATACAGGCAGTCACCAACTGTAGTAGTACTGAACGTTCAAAAGTGTGAATGAACAGAATGGCTCTATTGGGCTAAAACATCCCAACATCACCTCATCCGGAACATTAGGAGACTCAACTCCAAAGTTCAGGGAAGACATCCAGGCTACAGATTTGGCCTTGGACTTAGCATTTCAGAGTAACTAAAAAGAGACATAATCCTTAGCACTGAGTAAAAAGAAAGAGTGAAAGAAAATCCCAGGAAAGGGCCTGAGAAGGAACCCTCACAGCACAGGGGACACCAGCAGGAAGTACCACAGAAGAAAGCAAGCCTCCTCCCGCTGCAGTACAGGCTACTAACCTGCAAGCCCGAGCTCCTCCAGGAAGAGCCAATCCCTCGCCTTCCAGACACTCCCCACTTCACTCAGGGTGGCATAGGGACACCATTCTCCTACCTGTACGGCATCTTGTGCTCACCTGTACTGTAACCCTGGACTATGTGCTGGCTGGTCTTCACTACCCTAAGAGTAGCTTAGGATCAGAGACCTAGGACTTAACACCTTTTACCACCTACTCATCTTCTAGCTGGCATGGCTAGTACTTACTTGTGCAACACTGAACCAAAAAAGAAAAGATGTATATGTACTCTTGTATGTCCAGAATTCTCTCTCCACTTTATAGAGACATGTACACAATTTACTGAATCTGCATTACCATGCCTCAGGTTCTGAGGAAACATTCTCTAAACAGGCTTAATTCTTGAGAAGCCATTCACAAACATGTAATGCATGTCCCAGGACTCAGTAAAGAATGCACAGAAACAGCAATGTCCATTCCTTACAAATAAATATTTAAGAACTTTGAATGGAGATAGCTGATATTTCTTTCTCCTTCAAAAGCATTGCATCTTTTATCCATTTTGATTTAACTATTTTCAGAGGTGGAGCTTTTGGAAGATACCTGGACTATGGGGTGTTGCACTCTTCAGTGCATGGATGCACTGCAAGTTCATAGCTGAGTATGCTTTTAAAAGGCGGGGCCTGACTAGTGACAGGCCACTGTGGGCATTACCTGAAAAGCAAACTCCTATCCTCGGCCCCTCCGCACCTCCTCCCTCTGCCTCTCAGCTCCCACGGGTTAATGGGTGCCTCCACCATATTCTTCTATGTGGTCATCTCTGCTGGCAGCCAGCCAACCATGGGCTGAACGCCTAAAACCTGGGAGCCAAAATAAGCCTCTGCACCTTTTGGTTCAGGTATTGGGTATTTTGTCACAGTGATGGGACCCCATCCTTACGCTACCACACCGACTTCAGGGCCTTGGAAGAACACCTCAAAGGCCTTCAAGGAGGGCCCTGATTCTATCTTGTCCCATCTACTTTTGCATTTCTCAACATGCGAAACAAATTCAACTACTGTGTTTCTTTAAAGAAGTGTAAGTTATACACATGTGACATTTTCTATCACTGACCAAGCTCCATTATAATAAACATCAAGAGACTCCAAAATTCCCTGATTATATCTACTACTTCAACGGAACTTACTGCTTTAATAAATGTACAAAATATCTCTTAGCACTTGGAATTCAATTTATGGTTATTTTTTCTCATACCTTTAGAACTCAATTCCTGACATCAAACTCTGTCAAGTCATTGCCGCAATTAACTGATGACTGGGGCAATGAAAGAATCTCACACCAAGGATGTTCTTCCTCTAACATGAAAACATCTTTCCAAGCCACAGCTGATGCCCTCAAGCTCTCATTAAATCTCCTTCACTTAACCCTGAATGAGGTTCAGCACTAAGACTTTATTTAGGAAAGGGAATTTTACTTATAGTAACTATCTTTCGCTAAGCAAAAGTACACTACTGACATTAATCAATAATTAGATAATAAATGCTTGATTTAAAGTCTCAGCTTACATTTCACAGATGAGAAATTAGATGGCAAATACTATAATGAATGCCGTTATCCAATCCTAGAATAACCAATTTTTAAACTTCAATTTTACAAAGTATCCAATAAAAGAGTATTTCACCCTTCTCTTAATGTACACAGTATGGTTTTTGTCTGTCTGTTTTTGAGACAGGTTCTCACTATGTAGTTCAGGCTGGCCTCAAACTCAAGGTGATGCTGCCTCAGCCTCCTGACTGCTGGGACTCCAGGCATGCACTACCACACTCAGCCTGGTTTGGTTTTTATTCCAACAACAGATACTACACATAACTGTAAGGAAAGAAAAAACAACAGACAACCACATGTCACATGCCATCCCGTAAGATTATAACAGAACTCAGACATTCCTGTCAACTAAACTAATGATGTATCAGCTGTCTCTGTTACAGCACAGCGTATTATTCATGTATCTGTGTTAATAATGCTGCCGATAAACTTACTGTGCTACCAATCATATAAAAGGACAGTACTGCCATAATAGTCGATAGTAAATTATAATATTCCCATTTTATGTATCTACAACACCTTGTATCCCTGCCCCTGTGAAGGAAAAGTTTGCTGATCAGCATAAACTACGTTAACACAGTCTCATCCATCTCGTGTTCATGTGACCTGATCTACACTTTCTAGGTTTAAGTTCCTTCTAGAGTTTCCACAATAATGTAATCATCTGGGATGCTTTTTCACAATGTGTTCTTGTTCAAAGACACACAAATGCACATCCCTGACCTAAAATTTTCCTGAGACTTTACCAAAGATACACAATTTCCACAACATGCTTCTATGGCTCCTGATCTGAAATATAATTAAGTAGTTTAAACTACATTAAGTATCATCTCAGGTAGTTCACTGTCAGCAGCATTACATAAAATATTCTTTCAAATGAAAAATGTATCTTTTAACATTAACACTGTGTCTAAGATTTTAACCTACCTTTCTTTTCTTTCTTTGTTTTTGTTACTGGAGATTGAATTGACAACTTCATGCTTGCCAGGCAGGCATTTAAGGCACTGAGCTAAATCCCTGGCCCTTTCTGTCTTTTTTTAGACAGAGTCTCACTCTGCAGTTCAGGCTGGCCTTGAGCTCGCTTTGTAGCCCAGTCTGGTCTCAAACTCACAATGATCCTCCTGTGTCAGCCCCCAAAGTGCTAGGATTACACATGTGTGTCACCATGCCCAGTTTAAAATTTGTAACTTTTAAATTCATCTCCCATACCCTTATCTTCAAGAACCTGTAAGATAATGAATTAATTTTTCCCATACAAAGTTTATGAAATACTTACAGTTTCACAAGTAAGACATCTGGTTTCATTAGTTAATGTTCCCTGAAAAATCTCATGAACCCACGTTGGGTCTGGTGTGCTGTTGTTATTTTCATTATCAATGTTACCATTAGGTAAGCGACCATTCTGTTTTTCCTGCTTCCTTTCTTCTTGTAAAATATCAGCAATTGTATTTAGTAGGTAATTTAAGAATTCATGGGCATCTTGTTGCATATAGTTATCAAACAGCTCTAAAAATAAAAATGGAATAGAGTATTTCAGAATTAATAACTTCACAAAAAACAACTTTAAAACTGAATGCCTAGTATTCTATCAGAACTATAATTACAAATGTTTATGATTACTTGTAATGTGTAAGAAACATAATTTTCACATCAAGTTAAAATGAATGAAAATCTTAAAACAATACTAATCCATGAAAACAGGACACTTACGCATCTGCAGGACACTAGGCAGATAAGAAGCAACTGCTTTTCTTTTTTTTGTCTTTTTCGTTTTTATTAGTACCAGGGATCGAACTCACGACTGCCTGCTTGCAAGGCAGGCACTTATGCCGCTGAGCTAAATCCCCAGCCCGAAGCAACTGCTTTTCATCAGCTCATCTGTTTCAAAAGTATCTCAACATGGCAAGTTTCAAAGCAGAAGCTGTTCAACCGCTTGACAAGGCCATGCTAACGGCTTAAGAATCAGTTTATTAAAAGTAAATTCCTGCACTGTACATGACAGGAGTCTGATTTAGTAGGTACAAGGTAAGGGCCAGAAAATGGGGCTTTTCAACGCCCCTCCAGGTAACCCTGCTGTCATTCAGGTTCTGCTGTGGCATCAGAACGATCTTTTAAAAACAGAAAATCTCTCAAGACTCTTCCAGCTGTGAGATTCTGAGAGCCTGAGAATGTCCTGTGTAAGCAGCACTGCCAATGAAGAGAAACCGAACATTACGTGCTGGACCTGGTGTGGGGCAGCCCTACTACAGGACGGCAAGTGCTGGAGGAAGACCTCACTTGAATCTCCTAATAACCGGGTGATACTGCTATTAACCTTACTTATTTTACAGCAAGCAAACAGGCTCAGGGCATTGTGAGGGAAGGCAAAGCCGAAGGCCCAATCTAGAAAGCCTAATCCCACCAGGCAACACTAAAAATAATGGTGAGAGGGAGCCGACTAAGCAAGAGCATCCCTGTGTTGTTTAATGAACTGCACTGAGAAAAACCACCTATCTAGCAAAGTTTCAGATCTTCGACATGCATTTAATAAACTCCACAGAGACTACAATTTACATTTTTTAAATGTATGCATACAAATTTATAAGAAATGAGAAAAGACCTAAGGCAAAAGAAATTAAAATTGTATTTTAGAAGAGCCACAAATATGACTGCAAATAAGTTCTATGTATTAGAAATCATTTAAAGGTTACAGAAAAAAAAACAATGAAACAGGGAAATTATTCACATCTTCAAAAATCTAAAGAATATCTTCTCATACAAAGGGAAAAGCAAAGCAGATGAAAGACTTGAAATCACCAACTTATAGGGGAAAAAAAGCCTTAGAAACACAAAAATGTTCAACCTTATACTAATAAAAAAGGTTTTGACTTTAAAATAAAGATACCACCTTCCTTTGCAAAGTCATAAAAATAAAATGACAAGTGAAGGTATTAACACAGGGGTATATTCTAAATAAATATTTTTTATCTTGATATTAAAAAACTAATGAAGCTGAGGGTAGAGAAGCACACCTGTAACTCCAGCTACTCACGAGGCAGAGAAAGCAGGATTCCAGGTCCAGGCCACTTGGGAAAACAAACAGAGATCTTGCCTCAAAACAAAAATTAAAATGGGCTGGGGGTGGGACTTAGTGGTTGAGTGGTTAGCACAGGCAAGGCCTCAGGCGGTTCAATACCCAAAGGGATGGGGTGGCTTTAAAAGGTGCAGCTGTTCAGGCTAGACTGTAAGGGTGGTATTACGGTTCTATCTCTAAATACATAATATACAAACATATATACGTGTGTGTGTGTGTGTGTGTGTGTGTGTGTGTGTGTACACGTATGTGACAGGAAATGTACTTAACCTTCATGAAGTATAATCTCCCATCTAAAAACTAGGGCTAACAGTAACGTCTGCCTCAAACGCTTATTATAAAGATTAAAAGTGGTTAGAACACAACACCGCCAAGTGCTCACAGAACATGAACATTGCAACTATTCTTGTTACTAAAGCCAAACACAAAACTCAGGAAGGAAAGACCACATAAAACTTAGGAACTTCTGGATGGCAAAAACAACATAAATGAAGACAAAGAACAAATCTACATATTCATGTTCCAAGTATGTAGTCTTAATATCCAAAATTTTTTTTAAATTCTGTTATAAAACTAGAAAAACAATAATAACCAAAAACCTAGCAAAGGAAAATAATCAGCAATTCAGAGTAGAAATAGAAACGTACAAATAATAAATAGTAAATGGGAGATTAAAAAATAAAACTACATCAAAACATCCTTTTACCTTCATCACCTTAACAAAACAAAACAAACTAACTGCATCAAGTGTGTAAGTCTGGAAACAGGCATTCTTAACCATCGCTGCTGCGGCTGTGAACAGGCCTGGCATGCTTGGCAAGCTTGGCATGCTTGCTTTTAAGTATAATTTCAGCAATATCTTTAATAGAATGCAACATAGTTCTCCCAGAGAGGAGAGTCAGGTAAATATGCATGTACCAAAACAAGTTAGATATAACTGCTCACTAATAAATAACAGTAAGATCTGAAAATATCTTGTGTTTAATCAAGAGAATGGTTTATTCAAATTATACTTTTGTCACGAAACACTGGGCAACACTGTCGTTTAAAAGAAAGCACTTCCACATGAAATAACAATATAGCAAGCTTTCCAAGATACTAAGTAAAGCAAAGATGCTGAACATGTATAAACAAATCCCATTTATCAACAATAAACAGCAATCAGAAGACTCCACAAGAACCACAGTTCTCTACTTGGACGCATACGTATTTAAAGGCACAGGAAAGGTGTGGCTGGGAGTCTGAGGGGCTGGGACTGAGCAGCGCCCCAGAGGGACTTCTGCTTTTCAGTATGGAGATTCTGCTGCGCCAAACAGAAAGCCCACTTTCTCACTCCCAATCACTGCCTGCTGCCTACCCTCGATCACTTCTCCAAGCCCTACAGCATTTAAAAGCCATTCCCGGCCCTGTCTAGCGCTCTGCCTCACCTCCTCTGCCTAGTTCAGGTCCACTCCCCTTATTCAGCCCCAGTCTAATGAAGGCACCTTTCCTTCAACTTCACACTGGAAACAAACCGTAGTGTGTAGATCCTGAGTCCTTCTACATAGGAATTTTGGCTATCTCCTGTATTAAATGGTAAAATTTATATCAAATATTTTGTTTTCTTTTTTGTTTTCACATATTCAAATCTATTCCACAAATTTGGACCTCAAATCAAATACAGTAGTGAAATTACAGGCACATTTCATTTTCCGATTGTAAGCTCAGTCTGAAGGAATTAACCTTAGGATCTCTGACAACAAAAGATCGATAAAAGCCATAAGCCCAGAGCTTCTGCATTAACCACATCTAACTGAGCTTCATGGCGGCTGGGACCTCTGTCCCTTTGCCCATAAGGACAGCAGGCACAAAGCAGGGGCACCCTTCCCCACCCCCTGCACTCACAGAAGCTCCTAGCTCCTCCAGCCCTGATGTAGCCCACAACTCTGCAAACACTTTCACGGTTTCAAGCTAACGTAAGCACATGACTCTACCATTGTAAAAGTCACTCACCAAGAGTGAGATAGAGGAAAGCCATCATCTTTAAACTTGCCTCTCAATGCTGTAATCCTCCATCTCCCCAAATAATGAACACCCCTCAACTCAGTCTATCTTCTACTACTGATTTACTTATCGCACCCTATTTTCTCCCTTATCATTGGGACTTTCTTTATTCCCACCCTTTGGTTGCTTCACCGAGTAACTGTATTGGGTTCTAAACACATTCCCCATCTCTTCAACCTTTTAGCATTTTCTAATTCCCAGCTGCCATTTCTAACCCATTATTCTTTCACATGCATACCAAAACTTGCCTGCACTCAAACAAAGCACAGAAAATCTAGCCACACTTGTGACCCAGAGCCATCTCTCCCTGAGATCATTTGCCAAACCCCCTCCCCATTCACTGTGGGCCTAATTTATGGACCAACCTGTTATCTACACTAATCTGACATTTTCATTTCTAGGTAGCTTCCTTAGGTGCAACTGATACCCTTAAAAGCAAACATCTTTACACATTTTGTTTTGTTTTGTTTTATACCAGGGATCAAACACAAGACCTCACACTTGCCAGGTAGGTGCTTGTGCCACTAAGCTTAAACTTCTGGCCCAGAAACCAAACATCTTTACCTCTTGCTCACAAACACAAGGGCTGGAAGGTTATGCTATAATTAGAGAAGTTAAGAATAGTGGGAAAGAACTGGAAAAGTAATAGAAGGAGCTAAACAGAATGATAGGGGAAGAAGACTAATAAGATTTATAAGCATTTCTGAAGCCTTAAGTAGAAGAGGGGATGAGTAACTCACTATAGTAGATAAGCAACCTGACAGCTCATGGCCACAAACTCAAAATAGTCTAATTTTTGTCAAGAAAATTATTTCTGGGGGCTGGGATATAGCTCAGTGGCACAAGTGCCTGTGTGGCAAGTGTTAGGTCATGAATTTGACCCCCGGTACTCCCAAAATTATTTTGAAGGAGGAGACCAAGATAGCAAAGCAGTAAGCAGCAGAGACAACAGCCTCTGTGCATGTCACTATTCAGACACTGGAATACAGCACCGTGAGGAAGACAAGGAGGAGGACAGTGGGACCCAAGAAGAGTCTCAAGTGTGAACTGAAGCCCACAGAGAGAACAAAGAGAGAAACTCCAATGAAGAAGGAGGGAGCCAGGGGTGCCTTCTTCCCAGATGGCACTCACTGCACAAAGGATAGTTCCACTGCAGGCCCAAAGTGGAGGCTTGCGACCCCAGAGGCCTCTGTGGAGAGAGGTGGCGGTGGAGAGGTGCAGCAGAGGTGAGGGGCTACACTGGCTGGAGTGCGGAGAACTTAGTGCCCCTGCAGGAGAGAGCAATTAGCTGGGAGCCGTCTTGGAGACAGCCTGATAAGCCCAGAACCCAGGACTACTGCCAGCTCCATCTAACAGCTCCAGCTGGGCGCAGAGATGCAGAAACTGCTCC